TGCCCGACAGCTTGGGAGGCAAGGGAGTGACTTAAATGGAATTCAATCCTACAGATAGATATTAAGTGCTTGGCACACAGTAGGTGCTTAATAAATGTTTATTGACTGTCTACTATGGGCCAAGAACTATACTAAGCATTGAGGAGAGAAAGAGAAATTGAGACAGTTTTTGCCCTTGTAGGGTTTACAATCTATAGAGAGAAAGCACCATGTACACAGAGAAGTCTATGTATAAGATATACAGTGTAAATACAAAATAATATTGTATTTGGTGGTAGTGAAGGGATGATTTCTAACAACTTGAAGGGGATTGGAGTCTTTAGGAAACCTATGGAGTGGACATATGGAGGAAACCTTTGGAATGAGTACATTCTAGGCATGGGGACGGAATGTTCTAGACACAGAACAAAGAGTCAACCAATTTGTCTAAAACAGAGAGTGAGAGGTTTGTAAAAATGGAATGGTCCCTGAATGTGGATGTTCTTAAACCAAACCAGGCTGAGGTTTGTATTTTATCATGGGGCAGTTGGGAGCCATTGACCCTTCTTGAGCAAGGGAGTGATGTGGTCAGAGCTCTGCTTTAGGAAGATCCATTTGGCAGCTGTTTGCAGAATGGATTGGAGAAGGGAGAAACTTGAGGTAGGAAGAAGTTTTATCAAAGGGGAAGAATATCTGGGAGGATGTTCTAAGGCAGTTTTGTTCTGTCCACTTCGTGATTTCACCTAGGGCAAGCCTTGTGCCTAGCACTGCTGTGAGTATGTTAGATGCCTTTGAGAACTTCCTATGGTTGGATGGATATATTTGCCTATGGATATGTTTCTGTTTGGTCTCTTGGACCTACCCCAACATGGCAAATTCCTTAAGGACACTTATTGTCTTCCTTGGTTCTCTACCCTTTTCTCCCTAGAGGTCATGCCAAAGGTTTTCTTCTTCCCTCAGACTCAACCCAATCCCAGCAGGTATCCTTTAAGTTTTTAAAATTTTATTTTCATTGATAGCTTTTATTTTTGCTTCACCTTCATTTCTAAATATATCTCTCTCCTATCTCCTTCCCTCCCCAGAGGACCATCTCTTGTTACAAAGTCAAAAAAGAAAAAGGAGGGGGAGAAAAAATGCATTTTCTGCAAAGCCAGTCAACATCAGTCACGTTTAACCAGACGTGCAAAATTCCATGTCCATAGACCCCCACCTCTGCAAACGGGGGGTGAGGAACCTTTTCTCTACTCTTCTCTGGGGCCATTACAATTAATGACCAAGCGTGGATATTATAATTACATAGCCTTTAATGTCCCTGTTTTGGTTCTTTCCATTTACATTGTTGTAGTCTTGTATATTGTTTCCTTGACTTTGCTTGCTTCAATCTGTGTCAGTTCATAGAAGTCATCCCATGCTTCTCTGAATTCTTCCTATTCCTAGCATGATAAAATTTCAGCTGGAAAGGACCTCATCAGATCCAGACCTTTCATAGATTTGTGTCAGTTCCCTAAAGATTTTAGATGTCGGCCTTTTGTCAGGGATGTTTAACACAAATCATTTTTCCCAACCATATCTCCTGATGTAGCTCAGTTTGCTTAATTTTTGTGAAAGCTTTTATGTCACATATAATTATGATGGCCTATTTTGTGTTTTATGATCACTTTTATCCTGTATCAGGTTACAAATCTCGACTCCCCTTCATCCCCCATCTATATGTGATGTGAAATGTGACTTCATATTTTGACCATTCATCCATTTGGAATTTATGTGTGATGTGGTAAAAAATGCTGGCTTGAGAGAAATGTTTATTAATAACTAATGATTTGGGGACATCTAGAGTCCCTCCCTCCTTTTTCTAAAGTCCTGATTTCAAAAGTTCAGTCTCTTGAAGGACATTACTGATAATGAGATTGGACTAACCTTCTTAACCATCTTGTTCATACTCCACTCCCACAATGGGGAAGCCATTGTGTTCTACTCAGGTTTGGGTGGAGACAAATTCTTTTAATAGATTGCCCAAGGCAGGGGGTAACATAGAAGTAAATGGTATAATCAGGGTTCATTTGAATAGATTCAGCCCCTTATTGTAATATTCATTCTCTCATTAATTGTTAACCAATCAGAGTTGATTGCCACCCTCTTCCAATGGGCATATAAGCTATGAGCCCACTCCATGATTGTCTTTGGTCAGCTAAATGACCATTGTTTTATTAAAATGCTAACATTATTAATAAAATTATTAAATTACCCAGAAATTATGTCTCTTAAACTTTTTAATCACCACCGGTTTAATCAGTTTTCCCAGCAATTATTATTGAATAAAGAGTTTCCCTAGGAGTTTATACCCTTGGGCTGATAGAACACTGATGGATGTGTGCATTTGTTTCTAAGTCTCCAGCCCAACTAGTTAACAGGAATGCTAAATTTGAAGATGGAGGACCTGCCTTCACTTCCCCAACTAGTCACTTTTTTTGACTTTGAGCAATGGATCACAGTGGCCTCCTATAAAAGCACAGGGCAGGACTAGGGGATTTTCAAGGTTGCCTTCAGCTCTAAATCTAAGACTGTGTTCCTCAGACACATTCTGCACTTTCTAGCCCCTACACCTGGGGGGTGCTACAGGCTCAGTATGAGTCAGCAGTGAGATTTCAAGAGCAGAGCTTCCGGGAGCAGGAAAGGTGAGGTCCACTGGGCCCTGCCCCAGTCAGCTCAGACCTCATCTAGAGCATTGTCATCAGTTCTGGTTGCCCCAGTTGAAGAATGGCCTTGATAAGTTGAAGAGTGTTCAGAGAATGGCAGCTAGGATGCTGCAGGGTCAATTCTGGGCCAAGAAACTGGAGAAGAGAAGACTCAGGGGGGACATTATGTCTATCCTCATGAATGGGAAAGGCTGCCATATGGAGGAGTGACTCCAGAGGACAGAACCAGGAGCCATTGCCCTTGGGTCTATGTCAAGAAAGAGTTGGAAGGGCCTCCTCTGGAAGTGGTGGCTCCTCCTCTTTGGGGGTCTCCAAGCAGAGCCCCAGTGACTCCTCTTCGGGGGTGTTGGAGTGGGCATTCCTTTTGTGTTTGAGTTGGACTGCCTGGCCGCTGCGGACACTCCCAACTCTCAGATTCTTTGAGTCTGCCCTCAGTGTTCTCACTGCCTGAAATGCCTTTTCTCCCAGCCTCCTTCATCACTTGTTCAGATCTTAGGACCCCTGTTCTAGAGCAGGTGGGGGGTGGGGGAGGGGAACCCCAGAAGCCCGCTAGTCCAAGCTCATCCTTACAGAGATGGGGAAACAGAGACTCAGGGAGGCTGAATCCAACCCCCTCATGGAACCGAGGGAGAAGCAGAAGCATAGGCTGTAAGTAATAAGTGAATCCCGTCCATCCTTCAAGGCTCAGTCCCGAGGCTATCTTTCCCATGAATATTTCTTTAATGCCCTTTCACGTTTTGAGACGTTATACTCTCAGTGAAGAAGGTAGAGTCAAACGAATGCATCGTACACATCTTGGCCACGTAAGCCCAGCAAAATTGACCCCAAACCCCCTGGCTCTTACCTGCGGCCTTTCCAAATAACCCCTCAGTTGCTAGTACCTCCCCTTCAGTCAGTGAGCTGGCACTGTGGATAGATGGTAGACTTGGAATCAGGAAAGTCTGGGTTTAAATCCAGTCTCAGACCATTACTATCATGTATGACCCTGAGCAAATCACTTCATCTCTGTCTGCCTCAGTTTCCTCAGCTATAAAATAGGGATAACAGTTCCTACTTCACAGAGTTGTTATAAGGGTCAAATGACATAACATATGGGAAGCACTCATATTCTTGGTTCCAGCCATAGTTCCTGGCACTGTAGGTGCATAATAAATACTTGGTGATTGACTTAATGTGATGTAGTGGATGGAGCTGATCTTTGGAGTTAGAGGACCTCGGTTTATGTCCTGGCTTCTACACTTACTACCTGTGTGACCCTGGAGGAGGTCACTCCTTCTCTCCTGGGCCTGTTCTGTAAAATAAAGGCCCTGGCTGAGATGACTTCCAAAGTCCCTTCAGCTCTGCATGTATGGACCATCCTATGATTGCGTGTGTGTGTAAGTGTGCGTGTTAGAAAACCAACTGCAAATATCTGAAGGTGTCTGTCTCATGTATAATATTTCTTCTTCTTTGTATATTTAAATTGTTTTATTTAAGTTTATAATAATTTTTTTAAAAAACCATGCTTTGTTCAGTGCTCTTGGTAGTGGGGCAGTAGGTCAAGCCCTGGGCCTGGAGTCAGGCAGATCTGAATTCAAATCCAGCCTCAGACACTTACTAGCTGTGTGACCCTGGGCAAGTCACTTAACTGCTGTCTGCCTCAGTTTCCTCAGCTGTAAAAATGGATATCATGATACCCCCTAACTTCCCAAATTATCATGAGGATCAAAGGAGATCATATTTGTAAAGCATTTAGCTCAGTGCCTGGCATGTAGTAGGCCCTTGATAAATATTTGTTACCTTCCTGTAACACTTATTTTTTTTTCTCCGTGATTTATCTAGAGTCCTATCCCATCTCTCCTGCTAGATTATAACTTCTCTGTCTTCTCATTGTTCTATCACCACAAGGCCCAATCAATACCTTGGCTAAGAAAGAGGTCCAAGAGAATGTGATTTGGGTGACTCAGTGAGTTACTTTGTATTTATGTATTTAATCTCTCCATGTTTACTCAGTATGTACTTAGTACATACTGTTTGTTCTCTGTGTTGAAGAATAAGCTTCTAGTTTTATTCATTATCCTAGAAGTATTGAACATCCTCTCTGTAGCCCTTACTAAGGCTACCATGTGTAGGTCTTCAGTTTTTTTATGGCTATGCCCTGTCTGTATTATTAGCTGGAATGGAAGCCTTGGGAGGCAGAGGCTGTCCTGGGGGCTCTCCCAGCTCCTGCACAGCACCCTGCGAGCCCACTGGGAGCTTGAGAAGTGTTGGTCCAGTGGTCAATTGTGCCACTTTGGAAGCTTCATGCTCCTGACTGCTCCCCTTGTATTTCCCTTTCCCTCCTAGAGTCGCCTTAAAGAAGCTGTGCAGCTCTTAGAAGATTACAAGCATGGCACGCTGCCTCCGGGGGTCACCAATGAACAGGTAAGCCCACAGGCTGGGGTGGATCTGGGGGAGAGGGTGGAGATTGTGGTGGGTGAGGTAGGTGAATGCCAGGGCTGAGCCACCAGTGGGCACACATCCTCCAAGGCGAATCCCCAAACCTTATTTAACCCCTAGCCTCCCATTCTTATTCCCATAACTGCTTCTGCTAATTCTGGGAACCCCAAGTATTTTGGGGGCCACTGGAAATCTCCCTTTGCCTCTTACTTCTGATCTCCATCCTCTGGTCTACTGACTGAGTGTCTCAGGTGAGTGACTCACAGAGAAGGAAGAAGGAAAGTGGCAGGCTTGGCTAATGAGGCTCTGGATAAGAGTCCCCTGGCCTCACTCAGACCACCAGAGCCTGGCCCAACCCCTTACTTCTTTCCTTTTCTTTTTTTCCCTTAAATTCCTTGCCCAGGAAATCTGTTTTTCAGGGATGATATAGACAAAGGGAGGAGAAAGAGGGAAGGGGAGTGGAGAAGAGAGATTGAGTTGGAAAAGATGACTTTAATTTTTTTTGAGGTACTATTCCTTGTTAAGTACCGGTACTAACTAACCGCACTGTTTCCAAGCTGAGGATGCTTCCATCCTCTTCCTGAACAAATGAGACATTTTCAGTTGTCTTATGGAGACTGATAATTCCCTCAAAGTTCTTAAAACTCATAAATTCTCTTATCCCTGGAGGGGGAGCTTCCATATAAAGCTATGGATCCCATCAAAGGTGTTGTAAGGGGGTGTGGTGTAGTAATAACCATAGGGACCCTTCTACAGTGCTTTCAAATGTTCAAAGTGCTTTGTATATGATATCTCTTCCAAGCATCATCACAACCCTATAAAATAGGGATTATAGGTCTTATTATTTTCATTTTACAGATGAGGAAACTGAGGTCCAAGGCAGTAAGTGACTTGCTCAAGGTCATACAACTAGTAGTGTCAAAGATGGGATCCAAACCTAGCTCTTCCTGACTCCGATCCAGCATTCTCTTGATAGGGCCAGGCTGCTTTAACGGCAAGGACACTGGATGTGGAGTCAGACATCAATGAGTTGGTCATCCTATAAACATTTATTAGGCATGAAACACTGTGCTGAGTACTGGGGACGCAAAGAAGGACAAAAGACAACCTCTGTTCTCAAGGAGCTCACAACCCCGCTGTGATAGTGACTGCCTTTGTGACCTTGGGCGGATCACTTTTAACTTGTCTGGACCTCAGTTTCTTCATTTGTAATAGAAGGCGGTAAGATTAGATGATCTCTAAGGTTAATACTCTAAAATTCTGTGACTCCCAAAAGCTGTAAGGTTATCCCCTATCACGCCTCGGCAGTTTATTGGGAGGGGCTGGGGGATGGGGATAGTATGGGTTAATCAGTCCTTCCCCCTCAATACTTCCCTTTTCCACGGTCCTGTTTGGGCTATTCTATAGGCTGGGATAGAGGCTGCCCTCGGCCCAGTTCGGTTCAATATATAGGTTCACCATTACTGAGGGGCTGGGTGTTTTGGAAAACTGTACTTTGAGTCCAGAAAGGAAAAAAAGTAATATGTGTGAACATACATGCACATATAGATATGTACATATATGTATATGTAGATATGTGTATGGTGTATGCATTTTTTTGGGGGGAGACACTTAGAAAACTCCATTATTGTCAGTTTCCTGGCAGCCACCTACCTTTCCAGCCCTCTAACACATGACTTCCCCTCATGTATGCCGCGATCCTGCCAAGCTGGCTGACTTGCTGTTCCTAACATATGACATTGCACGTCCACATCTTTGCACCGGTGTCTCCTTTGCTTGGAATATACTTTGTCTTCATCTTAGTCTCAGAAAATCCCAGATTTCCTTCAAAGCTCAAGCGCTCCCCTGCCCCCCCAGCACCCTCCCCTATAACAAGGCAGAAGAGCTGGAAGGCCCTCAGGGACACCTAGCCCACACTGCCCCCTCTCAAACAATGCTGTAGACCATAAAAGGTCTTCCCTCTCCCCTGGGACTTCTTGCCTCCCCAGTTGGCAGTTTTAGGGGTGGATTTGGGGAGCCAAGGAGGAGACAACTGGAGGTGGGAGGAGGGGAAAAGAACCCGTTTTGGTTATAGATTTTATGAAGTAAGGCCCCCAGGAAATAAAGATCTTACCTGCCATGAGACTGTGCCAGACTAGCGGATAGGAATTGCTGATCCAGGCTAACCCCTTCATTTTACAGATGAAGACAACTGAGGCCCAGATGGTAAAGTCACTTGCCCAAGTTCACACAGCTAGGGAGGTGCAGAGCGTGAACTAGACCCTGGCCTGCTGACAGGTAGTATGAAGCCCCTCTTACTCTGCCTTCCCTAAGTGGCAGGCCAGGTTTCAGGCGAAAGCCCAAGGTCTGGGTCTCCTGGATCTGACAGGGACTTCTCTGAATCCAGAGAAAGCTATGGTGATTCTCTCCAGGGATGAGAGAGAAGGGATGGAGGGGGCATGGCTGGCTCATACCTGCCTCGCTTATCCAGGTACCCTCAGGTGGATTGCTCCAACTCCTCCGCTGGTACTGACAGACCACCAACACATTAGGGTTTTTGCTAGGCTCCTTCACTTTATAGCTTCAGGAAATCATTCCCAAGAGCACCACTGGCCACTGGGCATGGTGGTGTGTCTGCGGACTGAGCCTATGCCCTCTGTTTGGGGGCAATGTGTCAAGGATAGATAATTTTTGTTGGTGTGGGAACTCCTGGGACTGGGCCTTCACCAGTGCAGATCATCATGGCGGCCCATGTAGAAAGCAGAAGAGATTCACCTGGCATTCTCTTCCGTACAGGAAAGACCTCATCTCCCTAGGTGGGCCATGGGGATGTTCCCCAAAACAAAATTTTCCCTCTTCTCCATCTGGACTTAAAGTTCTCAGAATCTTGACTGGTGGAGAGACAGACAAGGTGTTGTCTCTTCTCCCCAGATCCACACTCTGGCCTCTTTGAGCACTAAAATTCTTAATTGTGGGGAGGGGGAAGAGAAGAGAAACAAAAGAGGTTGGGTCCCCCGTGGGTCATGAATGAATGGATGATGAAGCCTTTGTCAAGCACCTACTACAGGCCAGGCACTGTGCTGAGCGCTGGGGATTCACACACGAGTAAGTGAGTCTCTGCCGTTGGGGGCTGAGGACTGTATTCAGGCTGGGGAGACAGTGTATAAAGAGTAGCTGGAGAGGAGACTTCTCGGACAGTGGCATGGGGTGGCAATGGCCGAGGGCTGATGTGCAGGCCTGGTTCCGAGTGAGGACAGTCAAAAGCCCAGGGACCGAAGGACAGGGGTCGAAGAGGACAAGCCCAGTTGAGGCATCATGGTTGCCTCTGAGGCCTGTGCACTGAATAGCAATGGCGACTCGCCATCGTGGCCTTGGGCTGGGCCTGTGAAGTACCCCTTATCTACACGTTCTCCAAGCCACAGGGCCTATCCTGCCACACAGAGGGCTACTATGGGTACCGTCATTTCTCCCTGGACATTGAGACAGGGCCTCACAGTTTAGGAATGCCAGGGCAATAAATAACAAAAACCAACAAAAATGGACAAAGAAACCCTAAGACGTCCTTAAGTCCACCCATGGCCATAACATGTCATTAACTTTTAACTCTCCTTCGCCTGTGTCCAGACCCCAGCAAGAGTTTGTCAGTCTGGGGGCTTTTGTTTGTTATGTAGTACATTGGTGCGGCTTTCCCCATGAGCTGGAGACTCCACTCCTATCCCCGTCTGCTTTCCTACAGCTCTCATCATCAGGAAGTTTTCCTCATGTCCAGCTCATCTGTTTCCCTGCCTTTCCCTCCTGGTTCTGCCCCCTGAGGCCAAGCAACAAATCTGGGCCTCTTTCACATGACAGCCTCCCAAGTCTGTGAAGGCAGCTAACATGACTCCCCTGAGCCTTCTTGTATCCAGGCCAAATGTTCCCAATACCTTCAGCACTATGGCGTATACTCCAGGACTCTCAGGGATGCAGTTTCCTTCTTCTACACATTTTCTAGCTTGTGCTAGCTTGGGTGCCCAGAACTCGACCCCCGTCATCCATGTAAGGCCTGACCAGGCAGAGGAGTGGAACTCTCTTGCTGGTTTAAGATAGCTTAGCATACATATACCATTAGATTTTTTGGCAGGCCTGCTCCACTAATGACTCACATTGAACCTGTCGTCCACTGCAGTCCCTCGAGCTTTTCCAGGCACCCTCCACTTTAGCCAAGCCTTCCCCACCCTGGCTTTTGAAGTTTGTTTTTTGAGCCCAAGTATAGTCCTTGACATTTATGCCAATTCCATTTTGTCTTCTTGGAGTCAGCCCGTCATTCCAGGCTGCCAAGATCTTTTTGGATCCGGACTTTGCCTCCAGTGTGTTAGCTTTGGGACATCTGCAAATCGGAGAAGCCTGCCGTGTCTGCCTTCATCCCAGTCATTGATAAGGATGTTGAGCAGCAGAGAGATCTCTGGGAAGCTGCACCATAGATCTTCCTCCAGAGTGACATCATCAGCTGAGATCAATGGGTCCATCATTTCCTGGGCTCTGAATCCACTGAACTAGATTGTTCTCTAACCCACAAGGGCAATGTGAGACTTTTTAAATGGTTTTACTGGAGGAGTAATTTGAAATTTTCTCACCCAGCCAAAAGTAGTCAGAGAGTGGGGATGGTTGGGATGGGACTGTGGCAGGGAAGAGTTAGGCAGCCTGTGCTTTCTTTCTTTCCTCCTCCTTCCCTCCATGAGCCCGTGATTTGGCTTCTTCAACCTCAGCCTGGGCCTACTTTCCCTGTGTGGGTGCCATCAGTGGATGGTAAGGTATAAGGATGGTGATCACTAGACCACCACAGGGAGGGAAGGATTGAGTGAATGAAAACATACTTGTTAAGCACTTGAGTACTAAGCCCCTAAGATACAAATATAGAAAAGAGGGGGTCCTGCCTTCTAAGAAGTTAACAACCTAGTGGTGGTCAGGGTGGGTATTTTGGTTTGGTTACAGGGATGGTGAGTGGGGCCTAGGGCTTGGCACATCCT